CAGTGCTCTCTGATGTTGGTGGTTTTCTTCCAGACTAGCACTGAGGATGCGAACACTGATGATGTTACCTAGTTTGGTAATGAAACATCTGCAAGAAAAATCACCAAGCTGGGCTATAAGCCGGCTGGGGAATTCTGGCAGTTGAAGCCCGCTCATCGTCAAGTTGCTAAGGTTGAGGAACACGGTTCTCCATACTCCTGTCTTTTTCTCTTGTGTCTTTTTCTCCTGCTCTTTGTTTTAAGAATTTCAACAAACGTAAGCCACCGGCAGCTGCCGGGAATCAGGCAGCACGTAAATGCAATCAATTCATTATGGCCGGTCGCGCTGTCAGCCAGATGTTCCGATTGGACCTGGCAGTTTTTATCCCTCTCTCGAGTCCTTCCTAAAGACCTGGGATAGGCAGATGTAGATGTTGGATGGTGTTTAAAGGGATGGTGGCCGGATGTAAGCCGTTCCAAACAACCCTACTGCCTTTTGTAATTGACTGACGGGGATGGTGTCCATGCCGGTGGTGTTCAAGTGGTGCTCCAGATGTTTTGGGGTTTGTGCCCAAGGCAGCTGTGATTTTGGGGACCCCCTTTGCTCTCTTTGGTCATAGTTGTTCCATTTCTATCTGGAAGGCAAGCGCCCTCGGTTTTCGGGATGTGCTGCGGGGCGCAACCAGCCAGAATCTGGAATTGGAGGAACCACAGCGCCACCTTGTGATGGCTGTCAGAATGTCACCGTACGAGTCCTTGGAGACGAGCCAAGGTTGAGGAACGTTGTTGTATCTAGCGAGGGCCACCACGTCCAGAGGGGATGGACAGTCTCTCTATTTGGGCCAGAATTATCCCCCTTAGCTGGCAGGAATAGCCAACACTCCAGAAGACAGGCTTAGGATACAGGAGGATCTGGACAGACTTGAACACTGGGCGCTATCTAACAAAATGAAATTCAATGGTGGAAAAAGTAAGGTTCTACATTTAGGCAAGAAAAACCAAATGCACAGGTATAGCATAGGGGGTACCTTGCTCAATAGTAGCAACTGTGAGAGGGATCGCGGAGTCCTAGTGGACAATCACTTAAATAGGAGCCAGCCGTGTGCTGCAGCTACCAAAAAAGCCAACACAGTGCTGGGCTGCATTAACAGAGGGATAGGATCAAAATCAGGTGAAGGGTTAATACCACTTTACAAGGCCTTGGTAAGGCCACACTTGGAATACTGCATCCAGTTTTGGTCACCACGATGTAAAAAAGATGTTGAGACTCTAGAAAGAGTACAGAGAAGAGCAACAGAGATGATTAGGGGACTGGAGGCTAAAACATATAAGGAACGGTTGCTGGAATTGGGAATGTCTAGTTTAACGAAGAGAAGGACGAGGGGGGACAGGATAGCAGTCTTCCAGTATCTCAGGGGCTGCCCCAAAGAAGAGGGAGTCAAGCTATTCTCCAAAGCGCCTGAAGGCAGGACAAGAAGCAACGGATGGAAACTAAATCAAGGAGAGAAGCAACCTAGAACTAAGGAGAAACTTCCTGACAGTGAGAACAATTAACCAGTGGAACAACCTGCCTCCAGAAGTGGTGAATGCTCCAACACTGGAAGTTTTTAAGAAGAGACTGGACAGCCATTTTTCCGAAATGGTATAGGGTTTCCTGCCTGAGCAGGGGGTTGGACTCGATGATCTCACACCTTAGCGCTGCTCCTGAGAGGGTTTGTGCGGCTTTGAAGTCTTTCAAGGGGCTGTTTCATTGCCTTCTGAAGTAGGATGGGTAAATGCACGGGAGCGAACGGAGTTTACGGCTTCTTTTGAAAGTCTGTTTGGTTAGAAAAGAATATTTTGTAGCTCAGGGTGGAATTTGGGGTCCCTTCATGTTCTCTGAGCTTGGTGGTTTTCTTGCAGATGTCTCATGACCCAACTAGGTAACATCATCAGTGATAGTAGGGAGTAGGGTTTTCAGGGAGGAGGAGGAAGAGGAGGAGGAGGATTGTGGGGTCCTTGGTGCTCTCTGAGCTTGGTGGTTTTCTTGCAAATGTTTCATGACCCAACTAGGTAACATCATCAGTGCTAGAAGGGAGTGGGATTGTGAGGAGGAGGAGGAGGAAGAGCAGGAGGAGGAGCAGGAGGAGGACTCTGGGGTCCTTGGTGCTCTCTGAGCTTGGTGGTTTTCTTCCAGATGTCTCATGACCTAACTAGGTAACATCATCAGTACTGATCTGCAAGAAAACCACCAAACTCAGAACCAAGGATGCTACAGTCCTTGTCCTCCTCCTCCTCCTCCTCCTCCTCCTCCTCCTCCTAGCAAACCCTACACTCCCTTCTAGCATTGATAATGTCACTTAGTTGAGTTATGAAACATCTGCAAACCCCACCAAGCTTAGGAAGCACCAAGGACCCCACAGTCGTCGTCGTCCTCCTCCTCCACCTCCTCCTCCACCTCCTCCTCTTCCTCCTCCTCCTCCTCCTCCTCCTCCTCCTCCTCCTCCTCCTCCTCCTCCAATCCTCCTTTCTGGCACTGATGAGCTTACCTAGTTGGGTCACAAAACATCTGCAAAAAAACCCACCCAGCTCAGAGAGCATCAAGGACCCCCACAGTTCAACTCCCGAGCTACAGATAATTCTCTTTAAAAATCCAGGTAGCTGCAACTTACATTTCTGTTTACGTAGCATTTGGAAACCCTGCTGAAAAGAAGATTTTTTAAAAAATTTTTTTAACCTTTAACCATCTGGGCACAACGGCATGATTCACTGGACTTCAGGGATGGCACGTCAAGCTCCGGGGTCCACTTACCCTGCCAGAGGCTTGTGAAATAAACCGTTGATTTGTATCTTGCGGTTCTCCTTCGCAGCTTCAACGTCTGTCCCCAGAACTGCTCCGGCAGAGGGGAATGTCGGCCCATGAACGGCAGCCAAGCGGTTGAATGTGAGTGTTGGGAACATTGGAAAGGAGAGGCTTGCGATATTCCCAATTGCCCAGAAGATTGCGGCTTCCCCGAAAGGGGTCAGTGCAGCGTGAACGGAACTCAGGGCTGCATCTGTTACCCGGGCTGGCAAGGTAGGTAAAAAACAATTCCCTTGGGATGAATTGCACAGCTGGGCAGTAGATCCGGGAGATGCTTTTTAATGGTATTTATTTCACTTTTTTTTTTTTTAGCCAAGTACCGTGTTTCCCAAAAAGTAAGGCCTATACCAGGGGTTAGGCAGCCTTGGCTCTTTTATGACTCGTGGACTTCAACTCCCAGAATTCCTGAGCCAGCCATGCTGAGGGGAAAGGGAGAGGTTTCCAAGCTAAGCCATGCTGGCTCAGGAATTCTGGGAGTTGAAGTCCACGAGTCATAAAGCGGCCTAGGCCTAGGCCAGAGGTAGGCAACCTTGGCTCTTTTATGACTGGTGGACTTCAACTCCCAGAATTCCTGAGCCAGCCATGCTGAGGGGAAAGGGAGAGGTTTCCAAGCTGAGCCATGCTGGCTCAGGAATTCTGGGAGTTGAAGT